AAATGTATTAGCTTAGACATGGCATAATAATGTGAAACACATTACCAGTTTCATAGTGGGAGCAAAATGTCTTTAAAATAGCCAAGCACACCAATTTAGTGTAACAGAATGGATTGTACACTCCCAATTATCAGCACTTTGAGCTACGTAGCAGCATTCTGTGGTAGTGGTGTCAGACACATAGGGCGCATCTACACTTCGCCGTACAGCATGCTATGACAATGTAGCGATCACATATGTCTACATGTGACCACCAGCTACACAGCCAGAGCAGCTACACAGCCAGAGCGACACACTCTCTGGGTATAGTGCACAGCTATGGCAATGTAGCAGCAAAATTTAACTGTGCGCCACATGCACAGCACAGTAAACACCTGTACCGCGCCAAGCTTTAGTTCTTCCAAAAGTACTAAAGCATGGTGCTGGAGCAACGCTGCCATACGATGACGTGTAAACATGCCCACAGATAGCTATACATACTTAAACATAAAAGCAAATAAACAAAAAAAAAAAAATCTATCTAGAAAAATTTAGAGACCTGCTCACTGACTTTGAAGATTTAAAAAAAAACAAAAACAAAAACAAAAATGTTTCCAGACTTTGTGAGAATCTTTCATTATCATGTACTTAGTAAAATAACAGAAAATATTATGTTATATTCAACTGTGAAGTCCACGTACACTTGGATAATGAAAATAAAAATGATTAAAATAAAACATTTTAGGGTACATGCAAGATAACTAGCAACAACTGTCAAAGATAAAGTTCACCGTCATAAGTTCCCTACATTTTCTAATACTTTAATGGGCTACAATCCATTCTGTTGCTAATACAAACCAATTAAAAGTAAAATATAGTGTTCTATAATAAAAAGCTATAATAAATTGCTTCCATCACCATTATAAAAATTGTACACAAGTAGTACCTTACCTTGTTATCCACTGTCTGAGCACAGAGAATTAAAAAACAAAGTATTGTTAAACATAAAGTACAAAAGTTTCATATCAATGGAAACCTGTTGCACCAATATCTTGAATAAATATTCTGCATGGCATGCACACATTAGCAATGCTTCAGAGACATATTCAGGTTCCTTTTGGTCGACAGCCAAACCTCAAAACTTTGAACCTGGAGGCATCAATTCATTATCTCCTACTCCACAACCCAGAGTTCAGGTCACAATTGTAAGAGGGGAGTTTTACCACAGCTTGGTTTTCTATCCTAATAACAACCCTTTCCAATTACTGCAATGCAGTCCTTCTGAAGACTACACGTGGAAGAGAGTGAGCACAAATCACTCAGGAAAGAAACACAAAGTTACAGAAAATTTTGTTCAAGTCACATCTGAAAAGAAATGACTGAGTGGAAGGAATAAGGCATGCAGCTCAGTAGGATCTCCATGATCCTCCTACTCTTCCTTCCAGGCTCTACCCTTCGCCCCCCACTGCTCAGAGGACTGACTGTAGTGGCAAAATAGCAATCAGATTTGAAGGAGAAAGTAATGTGTGCACGTGTTTGCACCAGTTTTTATACAAGATAGTTATTTTAAAAGCATGCATAATGCAAGCCATCTATCATCAAGGAAAAAGGCAGTCAGTCCTTATTAAGCTTTCAGACTATTAAAACAAAGATTTTTCAAGGTCAAGTCAGCAGCAAGCGAGTGTTAATAAGATCAGCTGGCAACTTGTCTATCTTACCATTACTACTCAAATACATGCTCCCTCCCCACTAGCCCCAAGCTTATTTGTCAACTAGGTTTCAAGGAAAACTTCCAGCACCATAGCACAGACATCTGCTGTTTGAGTTACAGACGCTCAGTCCTGACTGGCTGAAAAACCACAAGAACAGTCAGCAGTAACCAAAGGGCCATAACAATTTCTGCACCCCTAGATGACTTGTGGCAAACGTGGCAGTTGAAAAGAAAAAAAATACAGCAATCTTAGTTAACGTCTGACATTACTTTAGATTGCAGGAAATACAAGCCTAATGCATGCAGTAACAACCAAACAAAACAAAACAACTCCTCATATTTTCTGCAAAGAGCTGCAGGTGAGAAGTTGAACAGCCACTTGTGGCTTGAGAGCCACATCTGAGTAGCACCAAGTTAAAGCAATAACTCCTTTAGCTAGCAAAAAATCAGCAGACTATTCTCTTCTAGTCAATCACATGCAAGAAGATATGACACCCGGCCAGTGCGTTACACTACCACTGCAGGGTTTGGGGAGGGGGGGAAGGTTAACAGAAGAAACAGGACTGGCATAGGCACATATTCAGATAAAAGGTGGCCAATGTAACTAAACATTTTCTTACCCATATAAACAAGAAAAAGAAATCCAAAGTAAAAGACTAATTACAACCCTACTGTATGTTACCTGTGTACTGCCTGCATTAGATACTGTTTTAAGATCTGAACAAGTAATAATACAATAACATTTTTTAAACATTTCTGTAGCAATTTTTTTTCATATTAAGTTTCAGTCTCTTTCAAAGAACAATTTAAACTAGCCTACAGGCAGTTTAGGCCCCAAATGGGAGTTGAGGGTTTTTGGTGCCAGTGGTGGGGATTGGGGGGGGGGTTAAAGAAAACTTTGTCTAATGCTGAAGAACACCATTTTGTTTGGAAGCAAATATTCTGCCATAGGGGTTGCAGCCCAAACACCGCAACACCTTGTTATGCAAGAGGAGAAAGCCGTTTTGAAAAGAAGCAAAGGGCTGTGATTAAGGAACAGGAGTCTCATGAGCACTACTACAGACTTCCTGCACGTCCTTGGGCACTGTATTATGCCTTTGTTCTCCCCATCTGTGAAAGGAGGATAACACTTTCTTGCTCCAACATTTTATCTTGTCTCTTTATGCTACAACCTCATCAAGGTGCAGACATGCTTCTCAACAGACATGCATATATACATCCTAGCACAAAGCAGATCCAGTCTTGGTCAGGTCGTCTGGATCAGTGGTTCTCAACCTTTTTAGATTCAAGGGACCCCTCAGAAAATTACAGCTGTTAGTTTTCACTTTTTTTTTTTTTTTTTTTTTAACCACTATAGAATAGAGCAATTCTTCTGTTATAAGGAACTCAAAAACACCACAATAGGTCACAGAGTTTTTAACATTATGGATTCTTATTTGAGATCTCTAGATATATCTTGTGAATTATGTTTGCATACCTAACAGTGATTGCATGGCCTCCTGGTTAAAAAAAAAAATCACTGCTCTAGGTACTATTGCAGTAATTAGAAACCAAACACCTCTCTGGCTGCTTGGGGAAGTAGCCAAAAAAATTACAACTGTCTGATCTATATCTATGGTATAAGGTGAGTAAACAAGAACAAAGAAGTAAACAGCATGAATGGGAAGGAACAGAAGTTCAAAATTCTTTCCAATAATCGGCATCAGGAGGAGTTGGTAAGACAAAAAGAGTGCTTCACATGCTTCAATCCATTTATATTAATGGCATTCATAGGCAATTGAGAAAACAACCAGGCAAAACATGAGACCAACAGGTTCCAAACTGTGGTCTATGTACAACCGACTGCACACAGCGGCATTGTGAGAAGAAAACCTTGAGGATTCTGTAGGAGGCCTCACCTTCATTCCTGACTCCCTCTCAAATACCTTTCCATTCTGCTAAGCAACGAGCCCAGGATCCTCTACCCACTCTCTAGAAAACAAAGTGCAAAAAAAGGAACTGACCGTTCTAACAGGAAGAGACTCTGTCTGGCTCCTCCCACACGCCACCTCCTCTAGTGGCACATCTAGATCATGACCTTCCAAGGACTCTAAATAACATTCAGCCTATGAGTCTATAGAAAGGACTCTCCTAACTGCAGGAGGCAGGACCTTGAGCGTATTAAGATAACAATAGCTTCTATGTTAAAAAAAAAGTTCTCCCATCAAAAATTCACTTTTTTGCTAGAGTAACTTTAAAGTAGTGCAAGCCAGATTTGCTTTTTAGAAAAAGTATTTATTTTTAACTTTTACAAAGGTGTTTCTGCTCTTCCACTGGTTTTAAGCATCTTATCTGCTCTCGAGGCTCATGCTTTGGAACTGCAAGGTAATTATTTCATCATCCTAGGGCACTACCTGCTGGTGCCATATGGCTATACAAATAATCTAAAATTTTCAGCAATGTACAACATGTGTAGGCATCTCCCTGTGATGCTGATCTGAAGTTGAGAGGTACATGTGTTTCACTACTATTGTCAAACCATATTTTAGAGCTGCCATAATAGACAAATAGGAGCAGTGAGATTCTCTAGAAGAAATGGCTGCTCAAACTGCCTAAGTAGTAAACTGGGACCAGAAAGAGCTAAGTGTCAGTGAACAGTTCTGCCTTCAAAAATTCAAAGTACCTCCTCTTCCTCCAGTCTTGCTAGGATATCACAAAGTTCTCTAATCTGGCCACCACTTAGTTTACTTAAGTAAAAGAAGCTATTACATAGATGCCAACAACCAAACTGCTGAATGGTGTCTGCAAAATCTATTTTTTCCCCCTCAGTTACTTAACGAGATGCCTACTTACCTTGCTGCAGAGAGAACACAGAGACAGTTTATTTAGAAATTATTTATAAGCTACTATATCTCCATTCATTTGCAGAAAGGAATAGCCTACAACTGTTAAATTGTTAATGCAGGCAAGCAGAAGACTATACACTTACTAAACAGTCAGGTCTTTTTGGGTAGAGAATAAAACAGGGTCAGATTACAAAATGACTTAACAATAGAAAGAAGTACGAAGCTTACTGAGTTTTAAGACCACTGTCCTTGGTAAACAAGGTGTGAACATGAACATTAAGTTAACTGTTGATAAAAGCTTTCAGTTAGCATACAAAAGGAAACAGAACAAGCTGAACATAATTTTATTGCATAAAGGTGCATGGAACAATAAGACAGCAAAATACAATAGCTACCAAAAATGCTTGGTCTGTCATGAGATTCTTAAATATGCACAACAAGAAAACAGCATGCACACATACCAAAAGAATTCTGTTAGTACCTACCTTTTTACATGAAAAAGCCAATTCACAACACAAACCGCAAAGTAATATGTGAGACTTCACTCTGTGCTTCCAATGGATTAATACATTATCTCCCACTGCTGAGCATCGGTCTTGATTCAGCTAAAGCATAAGCACTCAGGTCTTCCTGCTGGGAAACAAACAAGTAAAGTCAGTTTTAAGTGTCTTCCATTAATATGCAGAAACAATTCTAACAAGCCTAAAGGCAGAAAAGATAAATAGTATTAAGTCATGCCCAAATATACCAAAATAACAGGCCCTACAGCAATTTACCAATTCATTAGAAACTTCATTGTAAAAATCTACTTCATGCAGGAAGGCACTTCTGCTTGCCACTGCTCAGTGAGTCAAACTACTCTGCAAGATGTTTTACATAATGGGAAAATTTGTATTGGCCAAAAGGTTCAAAATGTTCTTGTTAAGTTTCCAGAAACTGCAGATGTAGAGATACTTCTGTTAACCTGAACCAAAACCAAGAAAAGAAACCGTTTGAGATATATGCTCCATTTCACAGCACAGCAGATCTAATTTTACCAGCAACTGTACTTCAACTTACTCAGAGTAGGAAAGATTCATGTTTTCTCCATTTGCTCTTAAAATACAAATTTTGAAAATACAGGTAATTTTAATACTATCAGCACATACTGGCTAGCATGATGCAGCTTTTTCCAGAATAAAATGCTGAAAATGGAAGTAGGTGAATGATCACTTCTATTCTTGTAAAACAGTAGTATTAGTGAAACATGTGGAATGGATTTTCCAATATAATCAAATAGCATAGCGATACCATCTTAATTCTTCCCTTTGCATTTTACTGTGAAAGAAACAGCAATCAAAAAGAGCCACAAATTGCTACAGAGAGTTGATAACATTGAAAAGGGTATTCCCCAGCCCCCCCAAAAAACAAAAAACCCCCCACAACCTAAACTAATATATACCTATAAAGAGAAAAAAATAGCTCAAACTAAACAAGCCCACCTGAAAAACGGAATCTGTACTGAATACGTTTTAAAGTCAACCATATCTTTACAATTACATTTCTAACTTAGCAAGGAAGAGGAAGAGGGAAAAAGAAGGAAATGTACTGAAATAAAATCTAAGGGCACCTCCAGATGTGTGTGGACATTTGGTTCCCTGGGGACACGGAGCAGCGGCACACCTTGCACCACAGCTATTTGTCCCTGGGGAATGCCCATGCCACACATACTTTGGCACGTGGCAAGTTGCCCTGGATGGGGTAGGAGAGCCTGGGCCAAGGACCACTGACCCCAGCAGCCTTACCTAGGGTCCTGGGGACCTCCCAGGGCTGCAGCCACAGTGATTCTGCCATGCAAAGCCTGGCCAGGAGCCACAGCACAGCTCTGAGCTTTTCAGCACCACACGCTGCCCAAACGTGCGCTGGTTTTTTCTGCAGATTGTTTTGACCCCTGGATATCTAGAGTCAAAAAAACCTGGGACAGGGGGGAAATAGCTCAGCACACACTCGGGTAGTACACCCTTGAAGCATGGCGAACACTAGACTGTGAGGTATGTGGTGCTGCAAACATGTTTGCAGTGCCACATACTGCATGACCGCACTCGTCCGGACGCACCCTAGGAGTTCAATTCTCATATATAACCCCACGTTATGGAATTTTGTACAAGCAGAAATGCTTCCCATGTCAAATTATTCTGCTACAAACATTATACATTTTGGAACACTGCTGGTTCAGAACACTATTTTATTAATGCCACTAAAATAAATACAATCTTGAAAATCCTGTGCCTGAACATTTTTTTTTTTTTTAAATAGCAGTACTCATAGCTAGAAAATGCAAAAACACTTTGACATAATTTTGCAGATCAAATACTAGGAAGCAGTACTAGTTCAGCTAAACATGCATCTAAAATTATGTCTCAAAAATCTAAATTTGAACGCTAAAGTTTGCACATGAAGCTTAATTCTATTGTGCATACTTTCATAAACACCCCCCCCAAAAGGTTGCATAATTAAAAAATAGTCCCACCACTATTACAATAGTGCCTGTGGTTCCTGAGATTCCAGAAAGTGTTAGACAAACAGATTCAGAAGTTCCAACCTCAAAACCATATTAAACCTTATCAAGTCCTCCTAGTCATCTATTTGCATATATGGTGTACCAAATCTGTTCTGTAGAACCTAATGAACTTCATGTTGTGCCCCTCGGTTACCCCTCCTTCCTTACCTCTCCTCTTTACCCCTCATTTCTACCATTCACCCTTTATAAGAGCTTAGTTACCCCATTTGCTCTGTTAATTTCCAATCTGAGAATTTTCTTGTCTCCACTTACTTCTATTTTGTAATGAAAATTACATTCATGTGCATCACAATTAGATTCACTTTGAAGGCCACTTTGGTGCAACCTGTACAAGGACCTCTAAGGACTCAATTTCTTCAAGAATCACCCCAGGTCTGCCTGATAAGCCCTCACATCAAGAAAGAGATCCTCCGCACAGGGGCCTTCTCCACTCTGAAAAAGCAGAGACCCCCACCATTTTGTAGGTCTGTAACCTGAAGGAGAACCTTAAGCTGCTTTCTCAACTGAAGAAACCCAAGAATGCCTCCCTGCTCACTATAAAGAAGGCAACATTTCATCTTTGCAGTGGTATTTGGGGCTAGAACTACAGAGCAGGCCTGACTGGGAAATCACGGAGGCATTACTAGAACTCAACATTCCTCTACCAGGACCAAAACTGCCTCTCCTGTAAGACCCCAAATTGTCTAACAGTTGTATAAATAGACTGTAGCACAGCTCTCCTCATTTCTCTGGGGATAACCAATTACCGTCTCTCTCTGCCCCCACCTAAATTACTTACTACCCACAATAAAGCACACTTCCTCTTAATTCTAAGATACCTCACTGTGTGTCTGCTTGCTATATCAGCACCAGTCTACAGAGCTTCCAGGATATTTTTTTTTTCAGTGAACTAGCAGGCCATACATCTCTTATGCCTTTTGAGAAATGTGTCGTCAATACAACAGTAGTTTATTAGTTACCAAAGGGTGCCCATGAAGGCAATAGCTGCCCTTCAGCTACGAGATAAAAGCCTGGCTCTTCCCAAGTCAGTGTGGGAACTGGAAATCTTTGGTTTTGTGAAGCCAGTAGTTCTTGCCCCAAAATACAGCATGGGTATAAAAAGCACATCACAAACACAGGAAATAACAGCTAACAGAACAAAAATGGGAAAGGAATTTTAGAAAAGGAAGGCAGCTTACTAATAAAACATAAAGAACTTGTGAAGAGTGAAAATGGCTGAAAAACTGAGATCAGTTTGGCCTTCTTTGCTTTATAATTGTATTCAAAATAAATCCAAGCATCTTAGTGCTTTTATAATAAAAGCAGGCATGGTTAAAAATGTGCACTCCAATCTGATCAGTTTTCAACGCTGTTACTCAGAAGCCTGAGTCAGGACTTAAACTGACAAGGATCTGTTCAGATTTATCCTTCAGCTGCTCTGGAAAACTATGAGAAACAAGAAGCCAAAGACAGAAAAGGGAAGCAAGGCAGCATGAATAAAAGCAAGGAAGATGAAGAGCAAAACCACCTATCTGGGAACAGAAAGCTGAGAGATGGGGAAGAGCAAAGATGTTAACACGCTCAACATTTCAGCACCCAATCTAGCCCATGGAGTGAGAGTGGAGAAAGGAAGAAATAAAAAATGTCACAATGTTTGGTTCTCTTGTAATGGGAAGGCTCCCCCACCCTTTTCAGCATCCAGATACACTAATGCTTGAGGAAGGAAGGAGCAGATAATCCAGTGGTCCATCAGGATTCCCAGAGAGTATGCATGTAATCTTGCATTGAGACTTCTGGATAATAGAGCGGGCAATATTCTTGAAATCTGATAGACTTAAATGAGCAGTAGGAATCTTTGTATTTAAAGTGAACATTTCCAGATCCTTTGGAGAACTACTTGACTTCAGTATATGTATCTGACGGCAGAGCTTGACCTTACAATCCCCAGCTGTGGAATTTAAGATGCATCACATTCCTGGGGCTATTTTTTCAGTGCACCAAGCATTAGCTTATGTATTCATGCCACCTTTGCCATTTGTAGTACCTGACAATATCATACAGTATCTTGCAGTGCCTTACAAATTTACATAAATAAGTCTAATGTAGATTATATCCACTGTTAATTCCCAAAAGAAGGGAAACAGCTCTTGGTGTTTTTTTGTTTTGTTTGTTGTTGTTATTGCTGTTTAGTATCACCACCGTGGACATATATTGCATAGTATCCTGAAAGCACCAAGACTTCTGTTCATTTTTGGTTTTTGTAGAAGCGTGTTCCGAAGCCATGAACCAGCCACTGAGAAGTCTGTCTCCAGATCTGAGGAGCCTTACATGAACTACCAAAATATTCCCGATCATCTCAGTGTAATGGACATTGAGATGGTCTGTAAAATGATCTGCTTATAAAAGGTGCTTATTATATGATCATATTTGCTTTCCTTGTAGCCCCAGTGAAGATAAATCATCAGGTAGGAAACAAAGTAATCCAAGACAAGCACGTCTGTGTAAAAAGAAAATCCCATTTCAGGAAAAGGCCTAGGAACCCGAAGATCAAAAGAACAGCAGCAGTTTAAAGAGAGAATCTACCCAGGGAGAAGAGAGTTAGCTCCTTAGAGCTTTTTATGGGGGACTGACTGATGCTACTTCAGGGGTGGGCAAAATGCAGCCCGTGAGCCAGATGCGGCCTGCCAGGCCATTCTATCCAGTCTGCGGGGCCCCTAAAAAATTTAGAAAATTATCTGCCCCTGGCTGCCTGTCATGCGACCCCCGATGGCTTGCCAAAACCCAGTAAGCAGCCTTCTGCCTGAAATAATTGCCCGCCCCTGTGCTACTTGCTATTGCATACATTATGGGACTCAGACTTTCAAAGAGAACCACTGCGTGTGCCAAATCCAGTTGAACCTGCTAGATAAATTCTGTTCATACACAGGGCATTTTAGCCATGGGCCTGCTCTGAGAAGGGGAGAACTGCAGACTGCTGCCCCAGCACAGGTACAAGCATGAGGTCTGATACCTTAGAGGTGCCCTCGGACTAAAAAGGAGACACAAACACAACTGGGCCCTGACGCTCAGGACTAGTACTTGGTCTTTTTCTGTT